GTATATATGTGTAATTTTTGTTTGTTGCTTGTTAAATGCATATGTTTTGTTTCGTATAAATTTGCACATATAAGAATATTTGTATCTATGGTATGTTTGTATGTATATATATATATATATATATATATATATATATATTATACATACGTATAATTATATATATATGTATATAATTATTAAACGGAATATTTAAACCCGATAATCGCGTACCTCTTCTCATTTCTCTTTCTACCCATTTATCAGTGTTAACGACCTCCACCTCTGCCGCCTTTGCCGACGTTAAGAGAATGCCTTCGCGTATTAATCAGTCAAAGAAAATGTACAAAATACCACGTACTCACTCTCTCTCTCTCTCTCTCTCTCTCTCTCTCTTTCTAGTTTTCTTTTTTTTTAATTTTTAATTTTTAATTTTTTACTTCTTCCTATTATCTCTAAGAAATGAGGGGGAATGAATTTGATTATTTTTGTATAATATTTATTAAATATTTTGTTAATTACTAAATCAAATTACTGATAGTAATATGATCTATCAAAGATTGTATGGGTTAATGAGGGTACAAGTTTTTATAAGAATTTTTTTTTTTTTTTGATCATGATTAACATAAGAAAGAAAGAGTGAGAGAGAGAGAGAGAGAGAGGAAGGGGAATAAAAATATTCTAAGATGGAATAATAGAAAGATGGAAGATCATTTTATATTATAAGAAATTATTTGACACGAATTTGTTGGATTATTTGAAAAGAATATAAATAATAAATAAAATCAATGAAATAAATGTGATTAATTTTGAAAGGTCAAAGAGAGCTTCTCAGAAAGAAGGAAAGAAAAATTCTAAATAAGAAGAAATAGAAAAAAAAAAAGAATAAGAAGAAGATATTAGGAGTACCGAAAAGTAATGAAAATTTTTGTGATGAGTACATTCACATTTAGTTTGTGTCAATGAAAAATCGAAGGACTTTTTAAAAAGGGAACTGAAGAACAATTTCCTTTACGTAATTGATAAAGTGTTAAAAAATGATGAACAAAGTTTTTGTTGATTAGCATTTGAAATTTCTTTAATAAATAAATATTTTATCGTCAGTAAAGAAAAATTTTGATTACTTTTTGGTCCCCCTAATATATATTGATATTAAAGAAACAAGATAATGAATTTGTATCATTGATAGAAAATAATGTAAATAATAAATAAACTTAATGAAATAAAGATGATTATAACTATATATAAAACATAATTGGAAGAAGAGTCGAAGAGTGCTCAAAACTTTTTGTTTCTGATAGAAGAAAAATAAAGAAGAAAAAGAAAGACATTTTCTTAAAGAAAACGAAAAAACTCTCTCTAAATTTGTTTTATATTGGTAGAAAATAAATATAAATAATAAATAATATGAATTAAATAAATATGATCAATTGTAGTAGTGTTTTAAGAGAATTAAAACTTTCATAAGAATTTTTTGTATCTCTGTTTAAGAAATAAATAAAGAAAATAAAAGTGAGAAAATATTTTAAGATGAACGAATAGAAAGAAGATATTCTTCTTTCATAGTTAAAGAAGCATAAAAAAAGAAAGAACAAAAAATTATAATAAATTTGTACGATTGATAAAAAAGAATAACAATAAATAATAAATTAATAAAATGAACAAAAAAAACAAGTAGAACAAATGTATGATTAATGCGTGGGGACTAACAGGATTCAATTCTTCAAAAAACAAGTTTTCTATCTATGAAGAAGAAGAAGAAG